GAGCCCATGATTTTGGCCTTTCAAATTATATTTAGGCATCCAAACAAGTAAAATTCGTATCATATAAGAAAAAAATAACATGGAGATAATTTAAGAGTTTTAATTCCAGTGACACTCGATCAACTTTAAAAAAAAAAAGTAGCGCAAATTTATGAACATGATTAAGATTTCTATTTCATTATTACTTTTCACTTTTGATCCTCAAAATTTTGTATCTAAATTTATAACACTACATTACTACCCAAAACTCAAGGTTTAGACATAGTAACCCAATATGATATGATGCAATTTATATGTATAATATGAATAGGTTTAATGATCAAAACCATCAAAATTAAGAAATTGTGCTTTTAAAGTATTATTCTATGAGAAATTTTAGCTTTGTCACCTCAAAATGTTCATTAAATAAATATATATCAAGCACCATAACATATTTTTTAAAATATTTTTTAGGGTATCGGACGCATCTTATCTTTTGTGTTTTTTAAATAATTTGGACGGTTGGCATAAGAACCTGATCAAATAGCTGGGGAATGGGGATCGAACTCCAAAACTAAGGGCACATTTTTACAAACACCAACAAAGCTCTTTCTCTATCCCACCTCAAAATCTAAAAGGGACCTATTTTGATGTCAAAATTTATGAGTACCGAAACGTATATTTGTTATTTAACCATGTATCCAATATCTAAGCTCCATTATGTTTGTTTGCTTTCTTCTAAATTATCTTTTCTGGATGTTTTCATTTGTTATTGCTAGTAAACATATGCATTAACACTACCACTGTTCTCTTTGGTGTGGGAAAATCAAGAAGAAACATGAAAGCAAGTATTTTGCTTCTATTTCTTTTTATTTAATTCGCACTTTCCTTTTATTCCTAATGTATCTTCTTCAGTTCCTTTTTTTTGTCATTAAATATTAACATAAAGTGCCTAAATTGAAATTTTAAATGTTAACAAAATATTCATAAATGCTAATATATTAATTTTAATCTTTGAAAATAAAAATGACTAGCACAAAAAAAATCATCCTTTTGGAACTAACAATGTTAGGGTGAAGTGACTAAAAAATACTTTATAAAATTAAGGAATGAACCAAACGTGTAAAGTTAGAAAACTAAATGTGCATTCTTCTCTTTATTCTACTATCAGATTTTAATACAAGAGCTAAATAATTAATTTAAGAATATTAAAAAAATTGGTTATGTTAGTTAGTGGTAACAAGTATGTGTTTACTTTCCTAAATTGTCATCTTTAATAATGTGTATTGAAATTATCCCTTGGCGTAATCTTCTTGCAATCAATAAGGATATATTAAAAAATATATAAATTTAAGAGATAAAAGCGATTAAGATATTATAATTAGAACGAAATTAGCAAAAGCTTTTGATCTTTTTGCGGATAAATAGGGACTTCAACTCTTGCCTCTAGGCTAAGGATTCAGCAATGGAGGAGAGGGCCAAGGTCCAAGCTAGGGGGTGGCAAGTCGGTTTCCAAAAAGAAATGGATAAAGTGGAAGTCGGTTATGGTGAGAGTGACTTGCAGATAAGTGTAATGTTGGAAGCCTTTGTTCGTACTAAAGCAACAAAAGTCAAAGGCTATAGCGGTAGGGAATGAGATCTGTCTCTCTTTTACAATCGTATCTCTATCCTTAAATTAAAAAAAATAAATTATTCTGGTTTAATATTTTGTAAAAGAAAACAAGTTTTTTCTCCAATCACACAAGCCATGTCTCATAATTTTTCATGTGAGTTTATAATTAGATCATACCATCTCAAAAATAGGAGAGATGACCTTGTGTAATTAGAAACTTGATATAATAGATATAAGAAATTGGAAAAATGACAAAAAAAGAAGTTAGAAATTACAAATTTCAAATCAGATCTGATAACACAACTTTATTTGGTATTGACAAGTTTGAATTTGTAAATGACAACAAATTTTTATTGACATTTCTTGTTTAGTATTTACGAAACTTTAACTTTTTTTTTGTCATTGTCTATAAGAAATCTGATGTAAGTATTATCCTTTCTAAAATCATCATAATAATATTTTATGAATTAAAATTTTTATATTTGTTATGGATTATAGTTATGAAATATATACATATCAAATTTTATCCATTTAATTTTTATATATTTATGTTTATAATAATATTAATAAATCATTAAATTTGAACCATTCATTTTTTTATTTAAGGGTAGACATGAGATTTGAAGAAGAAAATGAAAAAGAAAAAAGAAGAGCCCAGACCCACAGTGGTAGATGTTTTCCTTTAAAAAAAGAATAAACAAAAGAGAAAATTAATTATTTGATTCCTATACTTCACATTAAGGAACATATTAGATTGTTATAACTAAGTTGTTCAAATTATATGTAAGAATCAGATCTTTGTTGGCAAAAAAAAAAAAAAAAGAATTACTATTTCTGATCTTCAATATAAAAGTTCGTTTAACTTTTATTTTAGTCATAAATATGAAATTTTAATTCATTTTATCTTTTATATTTATCTATTTTTTTCAAGTTAGTCTTTATAATAATAATAGTACTGGCCAATTATTTCAGGAAAAAAATATCTATTTATTACAAATAACTAATACAACTAATTCTTTTAATTTACTCAAATTAGTTGATTAAATTTTATATTAAGGATTAGAGGTAGTAGGATCTGTTTCTCTAGAATCACCAAAGCAAATATGATTTGACGAAAATACCCTCTAATTAAATGAATGAAACAACCGTAAAATTCATCTGTAATCCCTAACGTCGTCTTCTTCAAGCTAAATATCTATCAAAGCTCTTGTTTCTGATTCTCTCCATTCAGATCACTCTGTTAAGGGGTTGGGCTGTGGCTTTCAATTAAAAACTTTCAAAACAAATGAATTGTTTGGCTAGCTTCTCCATGTTTAGTTTTCGTGGGATTATCTCTGCGGATCCATGACAGCTTTTGTTTTTAGTTTTTTTTTTTTTTTCCTTTGAGAGGTTATGTGGAGTTTAATGGTGCTTCTTTGGTTTGGTTAAGGATTTCTGTGACAGTTTTTATGGATTATCTAGTTTGCTTGATGTCCGAAAAATGGTCAGTTCGCTTGATGCTAGAAAATGTACTATTCATATAGTTTTGTATCATCAGGCATGAGATATCTAAGTTATATTTATATATGTGTATATATATGTGCGTATATATATGAGCCAGTTAGCTGTTAAGTTTACTTTTAAATATAAAATTTCAGTCCCATTTATCTCTCTTTTTGGCCCAAAAAAATCCCATTTATCTCTCATTTGTTACTCTTTTTTTCAAAACTAATTTAACTAACATATAGATTGATATATAGTCTACTTTTACACAAGAATATCTTAGGAAAATCATATCGTAATTAACTAATTTATCTCTTAATCCATTCAAATTAAGTAGTAGCTCCTACATCAAAGATTGGAAGTAGTATTAATTTCAAACACACTTGGCTCTCTACAAATACAAATGCACATGCAGTGCCACGTTAACATCAATATCAATATGAAAATTTGGTTAAAAGTCCATGTTTAAAAACTTAATTGGCTAAGAGAATTTAAATTTGAATAAGTGCAACTATAAATCGTAAGTGCAATTTTTCTTTCATTATGTATAGTACAACAATCATCAATACGAAAGTTATTTGCACACAATAGAAGATATGTTGTACCTTGTAGAAGAAAAGTTGCACTCATGTCTTTTTAGCTAATGAAGTTTTTACATAGGAATTTTTTACCAAATCCCTCACACACACACACACAAAAAAAAAAAACCTTAAAAACTTGCATTTTTCTTCTTCTTCTTATTACTCCTCCGGTCCTTAATATAAGACCTATTTAACTAATGTGATTAGATTAAGAAAGTTAAGTAAGTTAGTTAATTATAAAAAATATGACATGTTTTTCCTAAAACACTATAATCATCTTTTTTAACATCCTTTCTCCCTCTTCTATTTAATTATGGTTAAAGGAGTATCCATAGGGGTAATTTAGAAAAAATTGATAAATATGAGAAATGGGTCTTATATTTAGGACTAAAACCAACTTAACAATTAGGTCCTATATTAAAGACCGGAGGAGCCTTATTTTTTGGGTGAGATATACTTTTCTTAGTTGATGAATATGGAAAGTAGGACTTGTTTCGAATATGAAAAGCCAGACAACTTAGGTAAAATTCTTTACCATATAGAAAAAAGGTAAAAATTCTTTGTCAGGTTCAATAATAAATACATATGCCAGCAGCTTTTGCACTTGCTATCCCTTTCAAGGTTTTGCCAAGCTAATATTTCGATGGCAACCCAACATCGTAATTTCTTTGAGCTTCTATCTTCTTCTTGTTGCTTCTCCTTAAGGTGAAGTCTTAAATTTGAGAATGGAGGAAAAGCAGAGGCCACTAAAAAGGATTAATGTATTGAGAACAGAAACTTGTGTGATTCGTCATTCCTGGCGTGAATTCATCAGAGCTTCATTCTCAGCAAAGACGAATCACAAAAGCTTTTGCTGCCCATTCTTTAATGCTCCAATGACCTGTGTTTTGGCTGCTGTTGCACTCAAGGAAGCAGCAACAGCAAAGTGGAAGAAGCTCAGCGGAACTGTGTTTTCGGGTCATCATCAAAATTAGGTGTCCTCCCATAAATGAGTGTCATCTTTCAAATAAGGAAATTTGGTTAAAAAATAAAATCACCACTTAAAAAATTTAATCGGCTAAACGTGTAATTATGACTTAAGTGTCGTTTTTCTTTTGTTGTGTATAACATATTTTTCACAGTGTGTAGATGACCTCCATATAAGATTGTTGTACATTATTGATGATACATTTCACATAGCAGAAGAAAAGTTAGATTTACTCAAATTTAGGTCCTTTTAGCTAATTAAGTTTTTAAACAAAGACTTTTAATCAAATTTCCCCTTTTTTAACTTCCTACTCCCCATGAGCATCATTTTGATATATTCATATCTTGAAGGACAGAACCAAAAACAAATTATACTCACATGGCAATTTCAATTCCTTTCCTGTTTAGTATATGTTTAAAATGTGCCATGTAAACAATAATAATGGAAACAAATCTATCAGGGCCTATGTTAAATTTTGGAACATTATTTACAGAAAGCAAATGAAGGGGGGAGAGGACAAGAAATAAAATACAGAAGGAAACATCAGGCAAAAACCTTTGACAAATTAGAATAAATTGTTTCCCAATGACATCTTTATATATGAATATGTGTGCAAAGAGAATCTTTCCCTCATCTTTTGAACAAGTCCCACACAGGGTGAACTTTGCTCAAACTCTGAAACCAATACTTCGCTGACCAAATAGCCATGGCAATGCAAGCACCATCAATTTAAGAAAAAGACTAAACAAGCACCTTGACCAAAACCTACTGCCACGAAGCGCCTTGTCCATTTGGCATGGCTCGAGCCTCGGCTAAAGAGACAGCCATGGCTAGCATCATCTGCTCCTCAAAACTCTCAGGAACAATAGGTTCTGTGGCATTTTCAGGGCTCCCTTCAATGTCATCGGGCTGTGGTAAAGAAGATAATCTGCTACCATCCGCTGCAACAGTCCTTGTGTAACTGCTTGCTGTTTCAGCCACCTGTGGTTCAGGGTCCATGGACCATTCCCCATGAACCCCACTCACTGTCGATGAGCTATCAGGCGGCGCCTCATTGCTGCTGTCTGTAGGCGGATAACTACCAGATTCTCTACCCAACGGACTATAAAACCTATTGGCACCTTGTACCATGTTGAATGATGGCGTATTTACCTCATTGGCGCTAGTTAATGATTCTCCCCCCACTTGCTGACGCTCTGCAAGAGCAGCAATTGCACTAGCAAGGCCCCCAGAGGGTGATGACGAGGATCCAGTTTGAGGAGCCATTGCAGATGAATCATAGTTATCACCCATTGTGTATTGTCCAGAAGCTGGATAAGATAAATTTCTCTGCCTTCCACTCTCCTGCAGTGCCGATATGTACACTTTCATTTTTCAATAAATTAGAATCACAAAATAAATTGATTGTCTAATGATAGTTCAACACACACTTTTCCAACAGCATACAGGTGACTTTTCTCAGAGGAACCAAAGTTTTTTTTTTTTTTGGCCGCCAACCAGAGGATCCAAAGATTACTCCTTGGACTTTGCAAGTTGATCATATTCTGACTTGTAAACAAATTTGGACAAAACCAATTGTAATTAAATGACACGTAATCTGCCCTTTTTGACCTTGGTATATATAGACATACAAAGACATTAGTTATTATATGAATTATGACATAAATGCATTGGATCTGTGTTAAGAGTATTGAACTTTGATGAGCACTCATGAAGGTTTCTTTCCTTCATAAACCAAGGCTCAATGAAGTACGGAGGAGCCGCAGATATGGAACATAGCCCGATGTGGACAAAGTGACACAGCAAATATAAGCACAGAGCATAGGCTATTGTTCAAAATAACAGTGTGCGCATACATGTGTGCATTCATGGTAAAACATGCAAGCATGAAAACACACAAATCCACAATCGATGCCAACTATAAAACTTGCATCTCATAAATGGGCATACTGCATAAATAGCTTCCTCTATGTTTGGAATACACTTACACAAAGTTCACTTTAACTCAAGTGAACCAACTTACGAAGCTATAAATGCAAGAATTAAGTAGGTAGCATTACTCAAAAGGCATATGGCATACGTATATACTGAAAATAAGGCTGCCATGTGTTTAAATTAAAACGTTTAAATGGTATAACAAGGTGAACATATTATAGTTAAACATTTTCCCCTTTTTCTAAGACTACTTTTTAGAGGTGCTAAGCTGTCTGAGTGTGCTCAATGTTATTAAGTGTTCAATATGTGTTAGGCACGACGGAAACTTCTCACTTAAAATGTGGCCCACCGTCTGTAACTTGTTTCTCTTCTATTTTAAGAAAAGGGTTGGATGATATTGATTTGGCATTTTCACATTTGAAGTCCAATACAAATTAGCTCAATGTTTCAATGTACAGATTACATTATCATACAACTAATTGGGCCACATAATACACGTGAAGCACCTATGCTTCATACACATATCTACCAGCACATTTTTTAAGGAATCTACACTAGCCAACTAAAGCTATCATATTAAAAAGAAAATGCATAATGAGAAGCCCCATTTAAAGTAGAAAATAACCTAAAACTCATTATAAAAGCAGAACTCAAAATAACCAATATGAAACTAAAAGGGCTTCATTTTAAGCAATGCACCATGACATAGTAAAATATATAGTTCTGATATTTTGGAAAGTGGCCATCCATATCCAATACTCGAGCTGTAGAGATGGTCAGTTATAAATAATCATACTTGTATTTCATCCATTATTAGTTTCCAGAAGCAGCGAAAAAGAAAGGATGAGACACAGGAAGGACAAAATTGTTACACATCTTTGAAAAGGTTTAGTTTAATCTCATCCTTGTCTAGAAGTAAGTGAAGAAACAAAAAATATGAACAATTACATACTTGATTGACTAGGCATCATATGACATCTTACAACGTGGGCTTGAAAAATTATTCTGAAAAGCAATAGAAAATAATTTTATTTTTATTAAAAAAATTCTCTTCAATTTTACAGATAAATTCCACACCCATCTGTATTTCAAAGACAAGTCTCTTACCTGAATGGAAAGCCAGACTGCTTCCATGACCATAATGTCCTCAAGGTCAAGGTCGAATTCATCATCCCTGCAATTTTTCAGTCACGGAAAACATACAAGGTAACTATCCTACACAAGACATGAAAGCACTCAAGAACATGTGTGCGAGACCAAACAATAGAATTTTAATGCTTGCTTGCCAAGAGACATCAACCTAACAAGCTATCTTCATGGGGCTCCACTAGGTGACCACACATGTTACCGTGAATATGAATTCATAACAAGTAGCATATATGGTTTTAAGACTCTAATACCATAGTATTAAATTATATTTTACCTAGACTTGAACAGATAAAACATGCATGGTGCAGCATGGGAGTCAGTTCAATGGTTTGCCAATTGCCCCAGTAAAACATGGTAAAATTCATCTCATTTTTCTAACATTTACACAACCATTTTAATATCTATTTCTTATAAGAGTCCTCTTTTTCAATAGACATGACATTCTATTCAATTCACGCATATGGAAACAGGACACCCAACATGGAGAGGGTAACGATTATTTTATTCAGTAAAAGAAGCAGTATCTTTTCGTTTCTTTCTTTTCTCTTTTGGGTGTGGATGAATTTAGTGCTGAAGTTGGAAGAACTCTTACTGATCCGTGTATGTAAATTAATCTGCTCAGCTGTGTGAAAGCATGATTGCAAGTTGATCAAATGTTGGTCCAAAGGATCAAATACTCGGATGGACCATTTACTAGCACGTTTGTTGAATCCTACTATTGCTTTTGATATTCAAAATTCCTTAAAAATCACCTAAATATTATCTACTATTGCTTTTCAAAGTTCCCTAGAAATCAACCAAATATGACTAAAGATCACAGGCAATGCAATTAAGCGGCAGATGATTGAAGTTTCTGGGCAAACATTGGATGGCTTATTTAAGCCAAACTCAATGCCAGTATCAAAACTGTTAACAAATAAGCCGCCAGCTCACTGTTCTTCATGCTCAGCCCGTGTACCCAAATAACCAACTGAGGTAGGATTCGATTGCAAGGTAATCATATGATATCTCCTGAATTACAAACATCTGTTCCAGTTTTCTATATCCACCAAAGATTAAATTTAGTCAACTTTTGATTCCTATTGTGATACAATTAAATAACCATGCTCCTCACAGCCATGTTTGTCGGAGGCACATGCCCGGGGCACAGTCACAGACTATTGAATCAAGTACGGAATTTAGATCACATGACAAGGTTAATGTCTGTCATTCTATACTGGACTTAACTCTTGGTGATGTAACGGATATCAACATAATCTCAACATTCAGAATATTAATGGGAAATGAAACATCCCATAAGAGTTAAGATTTCAAGAGCAAAAAGGAAGACACAAGTTCACATAAATGACAAATTTCAATTCATTTAATTATGTTTCATCTATTGACTTGAAAGGAGTGACTATCAGGCTACGTAATGGGATAAAATTAGAAAATCATCAACATTAAAAAAGTGAAGTAGACTAGCATACCTATTGCTCCTAGCAGCTGGAGGTGGTCTAATCAGTGGGGTGACACATGAATCTTGAGAAGCCACAATCTCCTCGCCTTCAACAACAGAAATTGACGATGCAGCCACTACAAAAAAACAAAAGAAAAATTTATACAACCAGAACCAGTCAAACAGAGACAATATCCAGAACTCCAAGGAAGACTACCAGCATTTGAACTGTATTCAACATCTGCAGGTGTTACATTTCCATTTGACATGCTTATTTCATGCCTTTTCTGCATTCTTTCCTCTTCATTCTGAAGCTCTTGCTGCCGCATCCTAATTTTTGCTTCTATAACACGTTGTTCTTCCTGAACAATTAAGCGCATGTAATTAAATCTGAACTGACTGTGCAAATGTTTCAGCAAAAACATTCCCAAAGTCAATAGCTGTGGCAGATACCAACTTACAATCTGTTCCAATCCCTTTTCTTCCTTTGATTTCACACCTCGATACTCCACAGCATAATTTGCTGTCTTGCAGAAAGGACATCTAACATGGTTAAGGCAAAGAAATTATCATTAAATTTTAATCAATGATAGATGGCAGTTATGATGTAAGCAATTATAAGCCATATCTCTTTGTGTAAAAGACAAATGACTAGTCATGGAGCATACTGTGTAGGCCGAGTTGAATTTGGAACTTTCATCTGCAGAAAGCACTCTGGCAGAAGGGAGTAAATCAGATCGCATAGAAATGGTGACAACATGTATCAAAAACAAAAAGCAGAAGAAAGAAAGAAATGGTAACGACTAGATATATTAATAGCGAAGATGGGAAAACAATTACCCGTACAAATGCTCTTGGTGCAACATCTTGATCGGTTTAAACTTGGATAATACTAAATTGAAGGAAAAAAGATGAAATAGAATAATTAGAAAGGTCCTCAATAAAGTTTACAATTTAGGGCAGACTTTAATTTTTAAAAATGAAAAAGGCAAAATATCCCGGGTACTTTCTATGAAATTCACTGAAAAGAAAGCAGTTTTATTTGCAGTTGATAGCTTAACTTTAATGAGCTGAAATGGTTTCCTTGTTCATTCAAGGAAAAAAATTATGGCAAGAGAATAAACACAAGAACTATATTGAAGGTACATAATAGAAATTAGACCAACCAGAAAACATATTGGGCATTCTTCAAGATCATTGGTACATTCTTCATCTCCAGGATAGCAGGGTGCAAGCTTTGATTCGAGTATCAGCTTTCTCAGCTTCTTGTGATCTACATCTTTATGATTATACAACCCCTGTGGCCTCGTATACTTTTCATCTACCACTTGTCTCCTCCTCCCAAGTTTATTACCCATCCAACAAAACTCAGTATTCCACTATCCTGGTTATTTTATTTCTTCAACAACATCAGACACCATAGTAACACAATAAAAAAACCACTCTCACAAATATTCACTTCTACATATGGCAAAAGTATCTGGGCACAAAATAAATTTTATTAATGACATACTTAATAAATGATATTTGAACAGTATTGTGAACTATCTCATCTGTGATACACAATACAATCTTCAAAAAAAAAGAGCCTTTTAGTTCTACAATTAATTCAATGAGGTTGTCGTAGAAACAGATCCCAACAGCCCTGTAAATCACAAAGAATGCAGATAGATAAGTAAGAAACACACTAAGAACCGCGTTACCAGGAGCAAATAAGGGAAAACCCCAAAATCCGCATAGCAACAACATTACTTGAGACTCATGCCTACTCTAATTCTCAAAAATTTATTCCTAAAAAGTAATCCAATGGCATCAATCAAAACAGAAGCCAAATCTCACGGTAGAATTCAATTCAGAACTTAGTTTCAAGAATAAGGTAGAAACAATTAGACAGGAAGTGTCACATTCTATACAAATTTGAGTCCATGAATTATAACAACATAATAATCAAATCATACTAGCAACATCAAGAACCCTAATTTTGGTACTGCAACGCTCTGAACTTCAAGCAGCCAAAAATTGGTTAAGTACCCACATTGTCAAGAGCAAATAAGCGTAAAGAAACGCAATAAAAACTGGCAAAGAGCACGGAATTAGCCATAATATCACTATCAGCACTAGCAAAGCAAACAATCTGTGCAGAAAAATGAAAACAAATTCATGGGCACGTAGCACTAGTCCTGGTAAGAAGAAATTAAAGTATTTTTGAAAATCAAATGGCGCATTGGAGGAAGAGCAGGATACAAACGGACCTTTAATCCTCAGAGCGATTGCAGAGAGTGAGGGACACAAACATAAACGGAAGTTCTGATGAGGGGGACGAAGAGGTGAAATGTCTTCTCTCTCGTTCGCCAGAGTTTGCCTTTTTTTCAAATGAAAAATCAGATATAGTAGCTTTTCTGTTCGTTCCTTTTAGCTTCAGTTTCCACAGGAAGGAAACTTGTAGACAGAGAATTGAGAAGAAGGCACGAAGGATGGAGTAGTAGCCGAGGAAGGAATCATGAATCATCCTTACGAAGAAGTCATGTCCCCTTGCCACTGTCACGCGCTCTTTCAACGCGCGTAGATGCCTGATTATCGTAAGAGAAAATTACAATCAAGTCCCATAAAAAAAAAATTTTAAAACAAGTCTTAGAAGTTGTTATTCTTCACTGTAAGACTTGTTATTACAAACTGTTTAGTTGTTATTATGACCTTTTAGTTATTATTTCTCCTCTGTAGAACTTCATTGTAATTCTTCTTTATCATAATTTAACTAAATCAATCTATATATATATTATTTAATTGAATAATTGGTTTTTATTAGGAAAAAAATCATTAATTACTACTACCTCCTAATTATAAAAGACCTCGTTTAATTTTTATTTTGATCCTAAATATAAGACCCAAATTTACTTTTTTTCATATTTATGTTTTTTTCCTCAAAATAGTTCTTTTAATAATGATAATTCTAACTAATACACTTGATTAGTAAGTATATTTTAGAAAAAATAAAACTTATTTATTGTAAATAATTAAATTAACTTTTTTTTTAACCTCTTCAAATTAATCAACTAACTTTTATATTTAGTATTACAAGTCATAGTACTGTTGTATTTGTCTACTGTATTGTAAGTCGTTGGTCAAAAAAGAATATATTGTTAAGTCTTGTCTTTGCTTTTGATGTCCACTTATTTAAAGGTTTTCTTGGGCTAAATCTTTGTTAGTAGTTAAATATTTAAGGTTAAATTTCTGCAATTCAATTCACTTATAAAAATAAAAAATTTGTCGACGGCAAGTTATCATAGACAAAATGATCGCATCACCCTTTGCATTTGAATAAGAGTTTAAATTCGAATAAAATGTTAGACACATCTGTGTGTGAGAATATACCAAATGCATCGTAATAAAAAATGAAAATAAAAAAACATATTATGCAAATAGAATTTATACTTAATGGAAATTGAACATAAAATTTACATTTTATGTACAGTGTTATCTAAATATCGTTGACAATGACAACTTTAATTTCTTGTTTAAAAGTAATTAAATTTTTTTTCATGTAAAACCCCTATTGTTCTATGTTATTATTATGGTTATCTGTAATATGGCCGGTTACCACTGAACTGTCTCATGTCATTATTTGAAACAATGGACTGACCTAAATAATAATAAATTGTTGCTTGAGTTTTTTTTTTTTAAATATTTATATCAACAAGTAGACAACATTAAAGATAAGATTCAAGTACACCAGATCATCAGAAATCAAATACAGTATACCAATAACTTCTTAAAGAATTGCTGGCTAAAGTTCAAACACAATTTTAACTTCCATACTAAGTTTGAAGTCATAATTATTAATTAAGATGTACTCCTCTGGTATTTGAAGTAGAACCAAATCATAGAATTGATTTTGATCCTAAATATAAAATCTATTTTCAAAAGTAGAAAAAGGAAGGAAGATATTAAATAAAATGATTAGGATGTTTTAGGAAAAACATCTCGTATTTATTATAATTAACTAACTTATCTAACTTTTTAATCTAATCAAATTGTTAAATATGTCTTACATTAAGGACTAAGGCATAATTTTTTTTACCATCAATTGGAGTTTGGAAACTAATTTTGATTTTATATAATTTAAACACATGTATGCATACATGCATATGACTTGAGTTTGAGACTTCATCGAGCGTGGCAGATTGATGAATGATGCTGCTACTAGGACAACTTATTGTTGGGTTTTCTAAAACTAATCAAAATTTAACTAAGATGTGATTCTTTTCACACAACTTTACATGTAGTTCAAATATCATGTTGCTACTGTGCCTCTGCCTCAGATGCATTTTTTTCTGAATAATTGCAACTACACTTTGGCCAACAACATCATTCCCTTAAACAAATATGTGATCATTATGTTAATTAATATGACGACTTGAAAGTTTCACATGATGCTTTAGTAATAGTAACCAAATTGTATGGTCACAAAAAATAATGCTTCTTTTAATTCTTGATATAAGAACCACTTAATAAATTTATATAAATTAAAAATGTTAAATAAACCAATTAATTACTATAAATATGACATAATTTCTTTAAAATATTGATATATAACATTAGATTATACATCAATTTGTAATTTAATAAATTAATTTGGAACAAATACTAAATACAAGAAACAAAATAAATTGAAATATTATATTTAGGATTAAATCTAACTCCTAACTGACTCACCTATTAGGGATAGGATGAAAATGAAATAATAACTAAGCTATTTTCAAACTACAGTAGAACTAACGGTCATTTCATATATTTACATAACACAAATAATTAAACATGGATATAATTATATTCAATCATATTTGGATACTATGAATGCTAATTGGGATAACTTCTTTTAATAAAAAAATATTTTCTGCATTTGTACAAACTTAAAATAAAAAAATATTATATTAAGCAGCCATGGATCTTTCTGTTAATGTCAATACATGTTGCTTATATGAACATTTTATCATAGAATTCATAATATACGGACAAACAGATTATGCTGAAAGATGTTCTATTCCAAGACAAAATTTGTTATGTTTTTCAGTATATTTTTCAAAGGATATATATGGCTAATAGAATACATGTCCATTTAGATACGACAAAAGGAGGAAAAACCATAGGAAGCAAAAAGAAAGAAAACCATATAGAATTTAAAAGATGAGTTTTTTTTTTTTTACTCAGAATTTAAAAGATGAGTATGAAATAAAATAAGAAAATGTGACCTGTTACCGATGGTATTTTCGTAAAACCATTGACTTTCTATAACAATTTTATGTAATTCTTACTATTATAAGAGTATTCCTCTAATAATTTATAAATAGACATAATTCCTTTAGTTTTTATGACAAGAGTATTCTCTATAATTATAATTAATTTCATTAGTTTTCTCAATTATTTAATTTAAATCTTATATTTAAAATTGAAGGGAGTATTATTTGATTTCAGTTAGATAAAATGTGTTTCTAGAAACATAAGATCATCATTCTTTTTATTTATTTGTTTATCTATTTATTTATTTATGGATCTTTTTAACTTTTCCCTTTGAATCTTGATGGGTACGTAAACAAATGTTTTAAAACTTAACAGATAAGGCTCTGTTGGCCGCCAATTTGGGAGGCTGAAGCCATTGTTTTGTCTGTATGCTGTTGTCCTAATTCCCATCTAGTCGTCTTCATCGTCTCATCAAAACCCAATCAAAGCAATAATTGGCTTCCTTTTTTTTTTTTTTTGCCTTTTTCTAAATAAATATCCTTAATATAAATTTTAGTCAATTAATTTAGAGAGATTAAGAAAGTTAGTTAAATTAATTATTTGTAGTAAATAGATATTATCTTTCTTAAAATGTCTTTATTAATCATTTGTGTTTGAATCACAAACTAATAATAACTTTTTAATATATGCAACCACTATAAAAATTACCTGAGGGTGAATGAATAAATATTGAAAATAAAATAAATTAGAATCTTATATTTATGATTAAATAAAAAATTAAAATAATTTTTATATTAATTAATATCAAGTTTAAATCTGAAATCTCATCCAAATATTATAGGTCACTTTATTGTTGGAGTAGCTAGCCTTTTATAATTATGCTTTCCTTTATTGTTAACTAGATTTACACCACCATAAAAATGCCCTATTAATAATTGGCTTTCCTTAATATTATCTTTAATATAAGATTTAATTTTTAGTGTAAACTAGATCTTATATTTAAGACTAGAAATAATACTGCACTAAAAACTAAATTTTATAGTTAGCATTGGAGGGTAATATAGCGAAGATCAGATGGAGTATTGAACATTATCAATTACCCTTTGATCTTTAGAGAATGACCCGGTAACGAAAGCACTCAACCTTTTAATTAGATAACAATTTGATGAATGAGAGAATAAAAACTAAAAAGTATCATGGATGCGAAAAATATAAATAGGAAGTTTAATGAAAATGTAAAATCCACATATCATATATCATATTCTTTTTTTCTATTTATAAGAAAGAGAAAAAAATATTTTTTGCCTTATTTATAGTTACATCATTAAATTTGTCATATGAATATATAATTTCACTTTTTATTTATTATTTTGTAATTGTATTCTCATGAGATATAATGTATATTAACTATTAAAAGGTTAGGGTGTATTCAGCACCATAAAATATTCTTTTCAAATACATCTAATATTTCAAAGTATTTTGAACTATATTAAAACATTTTTAAGGGGCACCCAGAACCCTAAATTATATTTTAAAAAAATATTATTATTAAACTATGAACTCACATGAAAAATAACACACATGATATCACTTGTAATTGAAAAACTTGAGTAATGGATATAAACAAATTGATATAAATATTTTCTCAGATTAATAGATTTATCAAATCAATATTATAAATTGTGGTTGATACTTAATATTATGAGCACAAAAATATTGTAGTTAATTAACTCAATAATTAGCCCCTTGTTTTGCTAATCCTAACCTTACATTCAAGTATAAAAGGGTATATTGTGATCCAATGGGCCTTTTTCTTGGGCTTTATCCTTTTAAAAAGCTTCACATAACAGGCCCTGAATCAATAAGGGCATGTCTGAAGGCTGAGCTTTCCTCCCCAGATTGATAAAGTATAAAAGTCTCTTTATTTTGAGTTTGGATTTGCAGGGAAAAAAATATGATTTAAAAAAAGAGACATATTGAAAATATAAAATTTGGCTTGCACAAAGACAAAGAAAATTAATGTGAAAAAAAGTAGGAAAAGTTTAACCTATGCATTCCATATAGCTAAAGCATGATTTTTTTTTTAATTTTTTACACAAAGTTAATAAATTTTCATTTTTTTCTTTTGAATAAAAAGTATTAAAAATAGTTTACAAATGAACAGGAGAGGGTTACGTACAAACACTTTCAATTTTAATGAAGAGTAAAATTGAAAAATCGCACTTTTTCTTACAAGTTTAACGACATTTACTATCGCTTTTTAAAAGCCATGAAGTCAATTACCTTTATTTTAGGGGAAAAAAGTATACGTTATCACTAATATAGGAATATATGCACCTCTTGATCCCTGAGATTTCGTTACTAAGAGAGTGAAGTTTGTCTTTTACACATGTAAGGGATTCTCTTTGCCTTTTTTTTTTTTTTTTTTTTGCTGTAAATAACTTTCCTCTAAAGGAACTTTTTTTTAAGAATAGGAGAATTACTTTGAAGTCTCAAGGGCGGTTAATCACAAAAATAAGCAGCGGAAACCTTTTTTTATTTTCTATTCTGAAACATGGTCGTCATTATAATAAACTGCTCAATTGTTATGGGACTTTTTAAATAAATATGTTACGACTTTATTGCAATTATCCTTTTAGTTACCTTCAATTCTACAATAGTTGTAAATAAATCAAAGACTTAATTTGTTGTCATTGAATACCGAAGCTTTAAACCAGCAATTCTGAACTCAAATTCCATGAAATATAAATAGATCAATCCATCATATATAACAATCAAGGAAGACACTAATTACAAACTGTCAATAAATTAAACATCTCCATGCACGGTTATTAATTCTGAGGGGTGGGGATACATAGATAGATAGATAGAGAGACTCAGAGAAATACGGTCAAACACTTGACAGAATAATAGCAATTTCCAAAACAACAACAACAACAAAAAATTGACAGAAAAAAATAATTAAACATGATCAATTATTAATTAAAAAGAGACGACATAGCATGGATTTTGATTAAAGATGATGATTAATAATCAATCTCTGAAGAAGTTATTAAGGGCACTTGCGTCTGCCGCCATGAGTAGTCATGTTAGCATAACATGGACACATCTCTTGGTTGCCCGCGGTGCCCGGCGGCACACAGTTGCACCGCCGGCAACAGCTCCCGCACGCTCTCTGGCACAGCCTCGGCCGAGACGATAACCGGCACCTCTCGCTACATGCACCTTTATAATCTGAAATCATTCAACCCCCACAATGTAAATAAATATCTTACTGTTCATCCATCAAATAAAACGTAGATATATCTATAAACTATGAAAATTAACTCTCATAAACCACACCAACCCAAGCGAACCTACCTATCTGCTGATACAGAGAGGTTTGGGACTGCGTGATGCTTCCTTGTACCTGAAGAACAACATAGAAGTGCCAGGATTATGAGTATATGAAAAAAGTCGGACTGTAAAAACTATCTATCTATATATATATAGAGAGAGAGAGAGAGAGAGAGTCACCGTTTGATGGGCATGGACGAGGTTATGGAGGAAAAGGAGAGAGAGGAGAAGAGAGGTGAGCAGAAGCTTTGATGAGAGGGCCATGGCAAGAGACTGCGGTGGCTTGTAGGTGCGTACGTATAGTTGGTGAAATGTGAAGGGTGAGGAAGAGGAGGGAATTGGAGAGGGTATTTATAGAAATCAACAAGAAGAAGAGAAAAAGATGACAGGAATAGATTAGGGTTATATTGTAATATTAATTATAATTATTTCGCAAACTAAAGTTGGTGTGTGGGACAAAGGAGGGATGAGTGTGCTACAGCGATGCATGGTGTGTACGCGGCGGAATATTTGGTAGAACAAGCTAAGTTTTCTACTTTTCTTTTTCTTTCTTCAAATACTGCTCGGGTTTTTTTTTTTTTTTTCACAAGACACCTTCTGAATGAATTGAGTGGTTCTTATTATAAGTCATCAAATAGAGTATTAATTCAGTTTTTTAAGATTGCCTCTATTTCAAGTTTGATGCTATATTTTGTTCGCTTGTTAAGATGTAATTTATTATGCTAAATCTGGGTAGATTTAAATTTTTTAAACAAATTTAATCACTTAATCATTTCTCCTTAATTCTAGTGAGATGGGTGGAGATATTTTATGGGGAAAATGACAAAATAATATCCATTACATTTTAAAATAACAAATAAGTGATTTTGACATGTCAAAATTATTACAAGAAGAATCAAAATTGTTACAAAAACATGAGCATATCTATTTACATTTTTAAAATTTAACATGTATTTCCTATTTTAAAAGAGGGATGGGAAGGAGTGCCAAGCTGGTTTGCATGAAAATGAGAAGAAAGTCAGTGGCCCCGTTTTTGTGGGGCTTGCATGGACGAAGTGATCCAGAGGCGTACTACTATACTACTATATCATGTATATCATATATGTCTATTTATTTTCTCTAGGAAATTTTAAAATCCATCTGTCTTTTAATCATAACTTTTTTCAAACAAAAATCGATCACAAATTTTTTTTTCCTAGGAACAAGCATTCTTCTATTAAAAGCAATTCTAATCGAGGTACTGTTGGGTACTAAATGTGACTATCTCTTTTAACGGAAATTCAAATATTAATTTATAACATTATAGGGATTAACCCTTTTCGCGGGACACAACTGTGGTTGGTCAAATTTTGTATTTTAATTTGATGTAATGGTAAATATATTTATGGGTCCAAGTTTTGAATATAATTATGCGGTTCATTCATTATATTGGACTCCCTACTCTAAAACTCAGGATCCAATTATATTGATTTTGACATATTATCTTCCAATCAATTGCCTACAAGGCTACGGCTCAGGAAGTTGGTAATCTCATTTCGCTGTAGCTGGGGAAGGTCACTTTATATGCCAAATATGAGCTGGCATATATAAATTTTTAAAAAAATTATGATCATGATATTTTTAAAGGATATATTTTGGATGAAATGAATCATACTTTTGATGGACAAAATAAATTGATGGTAAAAAATAAATAAAATAAATCAATTGTTAATCAAAAGGGAACCCAATCTGCATCGGCCAATGGGCATCCCTATTTGATGGAATGAAATAATGATAATATTATCTTCAGTCCTAAATATAAATTAGATGTTATATTTAGAATCATTGTAGCATGTTACAAGTAAGATTAGAAAGAAAGATCGATGATCAAACGGCTGCAATATTTTTATATTAAGACATATTGAACTGGCAAAAAAATTAAAATATATTGAAAGTGTTTTTGACACTAATTGTTTTAAAAAGTGATATAGAAATTAAAGACTGAGGTAAAAAAACATTTTATCCCACTAGTGAATAATATTCGACATGCGACAAAATCAGGTAAAAAAACATTTTAGTACTATTTTTTCTTAACAAAAATAAAGTTTTCCTTTTATCTTAAAAAAGTTTTTCCGCACGTCGAGAGAGGAGAAAGCCCTTTTCTTATCTTCCATCCATGCAATTAATAATTTAGAATTCTTTACATAATTAGGTTGTAATTAATTATGGTCAAAAGTCAAGGGATATTTAACGGCAATATTGGTGCTTTCTGACTTTTTCTTTTCCCCGGTTTTGAATTTGAATGGGATATCTGCAATGGGGTTAATAACATTAATTTGGTACTCATATGTATTTTGACTGCGATTGATTTAAGTTTCATCCATTGTATCAAAACCATATTAATATTTGACCACTCAACAACTAAATTATAGAATATAACTTTAATAGAACAAAGCTCACTACAATGTGATGAGTATAAATTCTTGAAATTAAAGAACCACATTACAAAGTTAATTATTGAAAGTGCCCTTTGGAATTGCCTATGAGTAATTTTTCAATTATAATTTACAAAATACAAGGTAAATATGTGAGATAGATTTTGTCTCGCCTTACAAGTAACGTGCTTACAATTGCTTATGAACTTGATTCCAAATAAGCTCGAAGTTGAAGAGCTTATTAAGGTGTTATAAAGCTTTTACTTTAAAGTATAATGTGAGAGTCATGGTCATGAGGTTTTTTTTCCCCCCCATAGTGAACATGAGTTTCGGAGACTTAGCAAGATTAGATCAGATCTCATGGCACAAGTGCCCTTTACAAAAACTCATAATACAATGTGAATTGGATGTATATTACTTTGAAGGTTCCAAGCGACAGGTCACTGAGCGCTTGGATCAAATAATAAAGAGGCTATTTCAGTTTAATAAAAGGTCTTGAGTTCAAGCCTTGAAAATGTAACAATTTTAAACCTTGGTGGTAGAGATGCCACCCAGACAGGTCCCGTATTTTTCAATCCGAATTAGTCTGTACTACAATAAAGTTCTTTTTAGCTTCAAAGAGACACTGTGATACCAGAGGCTTACAAAAACAAAGAAGAGCCAAAAGAACAGGAAAGGGTGCAAGAAAATTAAATTAAAGGATTGTTGAAGCCAACCTTGAGGGCGGCCGCTGCCAACGCAGCTTACAGCTGTAGTATATATGCTCGTGTAAAACTATTCAACATATACATAAGATAAAGCTAAACGAATAATATTGGCTGAAAAACATGATTGCAAAGTGAACGAAGTTCCATATGATTATAATATACGAATTGTGGGGTTAAGGCTGCTAATTAATGATTGTGTGTTTGTTAAAAACCTAAATGATGAAGAGAAAGTGAAGTTGAACACTCCAGAGTCTCTGCTGATTACTTAATTAATTGTGATTGGTGCTCACAATTATAGGTGTTCGGAATAATGAAACAACAAGAAGTGGGGTCTGATATACAGCTAAGTGAATCATGAAAGTAAGCTTAATTTAATTTATAGGTCAGTTATGGATATAATAACATAAATATAAAATTAAATCTGTACCAAATCATGTTATCCATGTAGAGTAGATTCTTGTAAGTGAAACTTGTGTCTTTGTCATTTTTATAACATAATATGAACTATATAGCACTTAATTTTAATTTAGCTTGGTTTAGTACTAATACTTTTTCTTTGGACAAAACTGAAGAGCTGAATTTGTTTATACTTATTAGGTTAAGTTGTTTAATCACACTTGTTTTATTATTATTATTAGTCGTTGAAATGCATATGTGTTTTTATAAATTTAACAATGAAACATGATTATTTGTTATTTTTCTATTACTAATTAATTGAGAAAGTACATGTTTGGACGTATAAATTCACATATGAATTGAACCTATTAAAGTAATTTGGCCTAAATTTTGTACCTTTTCTTTTTTAGATTATTTTGGTATTATAAGAAAAGAATATTCTAATTCATTCCACCTCAAGCCAACTTAACATTAATAAATAGGCCATATATTGATTAATAGTTATAAAATTCTTATATAAAATAATTAAAGAATATAAATACATATTTAACGCCTGCTTTCTCTTTATTTTCTCTCCGCATTGCAGAAAAAAATAATTTGATAAAAATTGGATACAGGTGGGTTCAGTTTCAACTAGTGATTTTTAAATAAAAAATTATTTTTTTAAAAAACTTATTGTTAAAACATTAATACATTTATCGTAGATTGTGTATATTAAAAATTATTTTAAAAATAAAAATATTAAATATTAAATTCTACTGGTTCATATTAAATTACAATGGTTGATATTTGATGAGCATATTGAAACTAATGGTTCCAACTCTGAGGGGTTTACCTCAATATACCTTGAAAAAAATTTAGGATTGACCCGGACACTTTACTTCTTTTTTTATTGTCTAATTCTATTTCTTTATATTATCGATTTTTTATACTATCCTCATAATATTATTTTAAAGATATTTATGAAATTAATTAATTTGTGATTCCGGTGACATTAAAATGAATTATTTGGTATTGGCAAATATGATCATATCCTAAAAAATAAAATTACGTTTAGAAATTAAAGTATAGTACAAATGATATTAAGAATGGTAGTAACTTGTAATTGTAATTTTTCTTAGGAAGGCATCATGTAATAATAATTTTAAATTTTATTATGAATTTGAAGGTAGAAATTGAGATAATATTTAAAAAAACCAAAATTTAAAAAGCCATAAGTACTCTTATGTCCTATTTGTCCATCAAATTATAAAGCACATTCATTCTATTTTAATGGTTGGCGTAGTGGCAGCCTCACTTCGCCGCTTAACCAAAGGTCTCGAGTTCGAGCCCTGGGAATGCAGCCTGCCCCTTGGCCAGCACTATGCCCTTAATTGGAGGCCACATGTGCGATCCGGATTAGTCTGGTTTGTAATTGAATTCACCCAAGGGGTGGTCCGTCCCTGCGGGTTGGCCAGGACACCGGGTGCTATACGCAAAAAAAAAAAAAAAAGACAACGGGCAAATTCAAACAAAGAAAGTTATTATCTCTTTATCCCTATAAACAATATAATTCCATACATGTAAGAACAATGAGAGCATTGTCAATTTGTCATCCTCATGCATTTCATAATTAACAATATAGGCAACAATTTATTTTTGGATAGCATAAAGTGTAGCAAATTTATATGAATACATTGTATGTTATCTTGAGTATTGTAAAACATGTAATCAAATATGTATTATCTTATATGATACAATATTTTATATCTTCTTGTTACGTTGAACCAAAAAATGCATATTGTCAA